AGATCACAGGTTCAGTTTTTTATTTCAAGTTCTTTGGTTGGAAACTATAACGCATAGATTATTTATATTTCAAATCGCACTTGGGCCCAGGGCTATCATATTCGGACCCCATTCATCTCAGACTCATTTCACGGCTTATTAAAACGACTGTATTTTCAACAAATGGCAAATAAATTGACAATATTTATGGTTTACCTGCATAATTGTCTAATAAAGATTGCGTGTGTCTCCAACACTTTGGATGATTGTGACAAATCAATATTGTAAAAGCATTTTCTTGTCATTATAAGTGATCGCCAAGCCTGCCATTTCATAGACGTATCAACCCATCCAAGATGGCGGCACGGGTCAGAGGTCATAGGGGAAAAAAATATCGCGCCAATATAAACAAATTTGACACTTCGACATGAGACGGGCCTCGCATGAGACATGATTTAGATTTAGATTTACACTTATTTTTTGTATTGAACGTTATATATACTTTATAGACAACGGATTCTAATGATCAGAATCTAACTTAAGATGATTTTATAACATGGAAACTTCCCGATTTACGTGATTTTTTTACCAAGCGCAGTTTGTCAAAAGACGGAAGCAAGAAATGGCTGTCGGCATTATGTTTTGCTGCATTTACGATTTAGCTACCACTTGTCCAAACCACGGAATTAAATTAAGTCCGTGTCCAAACTGATGCATGTATTTTAAAACAAAATCAGGAAGATTACTTTAATTTGTTACATGTAGACGATGGACATACCGGACCCATTGTTATTACACACTGGGTGGGTCGAGGAGAAACTGGGACCGTTTATATATGTACAGACTTTTCTTATTGATTACAAAATCGGAAAGGCTTATGAGTATTTTCAGTCTGGTCACTTTCAGGAAGTTTACTACCATTCCACATCAACTGCATCGGCTGTATTTTGTCAGCCAAATGTACACCGTGTTGTCACAGTAAGTGAAGGGCGACTCGCATACAGTGTGGGTTTGCTGTTGTAAGGAAAATGGAGCAGTAAAATCGGCTATGAAACCAAGACAACTTGATGCCTGTAGGTGATTGTGTAATGTTTAAATGAAAGCATTAGTTAACATTCTATTTATCTTTTTGAATGCAAACTAAATGCTAAACAGCGAGTCATACCCCAATATGGACAAATATATAAATTTTCTAAAAATATATCAGTTAGCTATGAAAACTATTTTAATTAGTGATAAATAATATAAAGCACTGCTTATAAATATTGTCCTGTACATAACACTCTTGTCAATTATGTGTAATAGACTGGGCACATTCAAATATCAAGGAAACAGTTTTATGGTTTAAAAATATATAAATTATCTCCCTTAGACTAGGACATTAAATATGATTGTGATGACTCAATAAACAAAAGCAGGTTTCAGTCAAACTTGAAATTGACCTCAGTCTTAGTATATTGTACATGCTCTTATAAGTTATCTTGTGACAAATCTAAGGGCAGCTTGCCATCACAGGGAGAAAGGGTTGTGACTTTTATATGTAGCAAATTGTATACACATGTAATTATTTGGCAAACACACAGAAATGATTTTATTTGACAGCTCCCTACTATTTGCAAGTACTTGACAGCTTTATATTGTTTTATGTGAAGTTTGTAGTGCCTGAACTTTTTTCAATTAAGGCCTTTGAAAAATCAAAATGAAAAACACAGATCTGCCTGTCATGTCAGAGGCAATGGACATTGATCATGCCCCTGCTACAACAGATTTCTGCCCTGTATGTAATTAAAAGCATGTAATCAAGGAAGGACACAGCATACAGAAATATGGGGATCAAAGCATTGGATGTGATTATTGTCATCTTTGGTATCACTTTGCATGTGTACAGATGGTAAATGGGCACGTCTAAAGTGCAGTGTTTTGGGCAGAGTTTGAAAGTTTAAAGCACAGACGTTGCAAGTTAGGCAAAAAATAAAAGCCTTGTTTAGGCCTAAAAATAAATATATGAGGTTAGATTTTGTATGCAAGTCGAAAATGTACAGTTGGTTTGACTGCCACATTATATTGCATGTACATGTATATATAATATATATATTATTATATTCTTGCTTAATTGCTATTCAATTAGAACTCTTGATAGAATGTGCTTTATATTTTAACCATATTTGCACAATTTCATGTCCAAGTATTACCAATAACTCAATAAGGTTCAGATAGAGTATTGGGAGAGATGGATACAGTAGGTATTTAGATAATTGTAAATTTTCCCTTTTTTTCGGGCTGGAATATTAATAAAGACCTGTTCAGTTCCCATTTGCCTGATCAATCATCCGGAGAGCCAGGTCTCCGTGCTGGTCCTATTTTTACTATTATCAGATCAACCGAACTATTGACACGATTGACCAGACACCACCCACGCACAGTTGTATGTCTGATAAGTGTTTCACACTATATTTAATTATTGGGGATCCTTAGGAATATTTGCAGTACACTGTACTTTGATCCTAGCAGTGTCCGTGTGCATATAGACCCTGAGAATGTCACGAATTTTTCATGTTCCAAATTTTGCACTTTTAATTACAAATTATTAAATATAAATACACATATGTATCACTGGATACATGTTCTCTAAACAAAATATTGTGATACAGAGATACACATATCAATATATTATTACAGCCCTAAAAATACCTGGTACTTTTGATAAAGAAGAGTTGAAGCTTTGTGGATCTTAAGAGTAAAAGTTTGGCTCACATATATCAACACTGGATTATATTTGACAACACAGTGCTAGGGCAGGTGAACTAGCGACTGATATAAACACAACTTTAATTTGTAAACATTGAAAGTTTGGATGATCATAAAAAAACAATAGTGGGATATATTGAGGAACAGGTTCTGGTGCTGCTGATAAAATTACTATTTACTTATACTTCGGTAGAGATGGATGCATATTACAAATTCCAGCAACCACTTTTACAATATCATCCAAGTGGTGCACAAGAGTAAGAAGTACCTCAAATTTGAGGATCCTGAAGGTTTTTATTCATCTGATTGCGTGTTCAATGTAAATTCTCTGATTTGCAACGGCCTTTGTAAGATTCACTTCAGCTCTTGACATTTGAGAAGCTCCCTACACCCTTGAGGAATAAACAGTTCTGCCCAACTCTTCTCGAATATAAACCCCCTATCTGCCATGACCGAATCATATCATTCAAATATGTCAAGAAACCCAGAGTATGTAGTGATATGTTTGTCACTTGTTTGCCGCAAAATTGATGAGTCCAGAATTAATGCTGACAAGAAAATTTCCTGTGTTAAGGTGCTTGTAATTACTCCATGTCTGAGCAGCAAGTTCAAGATTGAATATAGCCATGCCCCCTTCAAATACTAAACTATTTTATTTCCTGATTCATTACCAATGCACATAAGTTCCACTACAAATGTATTTAATTAACAGGGGTCACACTAGTCCACTAGTCCTTGACTAGTTGATTTCAGCAAGGACCAGTGAATCACCTAACTTGACCTTTGGACTTGTGAAAAATATGATTATAAAATAACAATATTACTTTGTAAAATTTAGAAAAAAGCTTTAAATAATATATATTGCATGATAATTGTCAAAACAAATCCTATAACTTAACCATTTTTTTTATAGCAGTAGTTATATAAAGTCTTCTTTTGATGTTTCATGCTGTAGATCGCAATGTTTCCTGATCAGGAAATCTTATAGAACTTTACATTGACAAAGGACTAGTAAATAATCTTTTCAACTAGTCCTGTGGATTACCAAGCAAAAAAGTTAGTGTCCATCCCTAATAAATCCACAGAAAATCCACATTTATATTTACTTTTTTATTTTATTTGTTATGTATCAGCTATTGTGAGATGCACTCATGTGGTTTTCCAAGTTATAACCAGTACAAAAATGACTTTCCAACATTGCTTGTCCAATGATACCCCTAGACAGGCCCCAACGAAAATTTTATTTTACTCAAAAAAACTTGATGACGTTATTTATGACACAATCTGAGACAAGAAATTACATTAGCACAAGTTTGACAATGGCGTATAAACGATTCTTTTGTTATCATTGAGAAACGATGAGGTTACATTAACGTTAATATTTGCCAAACGGAAAGTGGAAAAACGACATCATCGTCGTTTTTGACGTTAATTTTCATGATGGCAAAGAATGCTTTGAATTTTTTCCTGTATCGGCGGGAAAAGGTCAAAGTTAAGTATACCAGAAACAGGTTTAAAGATAATGTATCGGAGAAAGGAAAAATAATCAATTTGATTGACTTGTCCGATAAATACCCCGATCCACCAGTTACTGGGGAGAACTGAGGCATTCAAGACCTCGCTCCAGTCATCTTGCAGAATGAATGTGGATCCTGTAAATAGTTTTCACTTTTTAACCAGTTTTTAACGAACTCAGGTGGAAGCCACGCCACACAAGTCAACCTGCAAGTTGATGCTGTTCGACGGCCCTTTGCAGTATAAATGTAAATGTAAACTGACACACCCATCTGCGACCCTCCAACAAATTGCACGATCGCTGATTTATTACGATGTAAGTGCCAAACATTGAAGATTTTCCCAAAAGAATAGATGTACCTGATTTCGTACTCGATGTTCGTATAATTTTTCAGTGTGGATATATCGTTTAAATAAAGAAATTTTAATCGTATCAAAGGACTCCTAATTGGCCGCCATGCAAGTTTTTGCTAGCGCATAAGCGGTTTTTCCCCCATGACCTTTAACATAACACTTTGAGGCCGCTTAAGAAATTACGTGTTGATACGTCTATAGCTAACAGTTTCGAACTTAAGTCTGCTTTAGGGCAGTCTCAGCTTTTTGGGCTCAGCTTGAGGCGTTGAGCTGAGTTTTTAGGTTGTGATAATGAAATACGGATGCTGAGCTTGAGTTCTCGAGTTCGGACTCAAATCCAATACATAGTATTCTGATGACGTATTCTATTCGTAGTTTCAATATACAGTCGCCATTTTCTGGGTCAAACGATTAGCTACGGTTCAACGCACGGAAAATTAAACAAACACCTGCTTACGATGGTACACACCTGTGCCATACATGGTTGTAGAAACCGAGCTAATGGTGAAATTAAGCGTGGATTTTACACGATTCCAAGCATAAGAATTCACGAAGGGACACAAACCGAGGAGTTGAGCAAGCAAATACGTACTGCATGGCTTGCACGCATCAACAGGAAAGATTTCAGTCCAACGACGCATACCAAAGTTTGCTCAGACCACTTTGTTTCCGGTGAGTAATTTTTATATTGAGTATGCACAATGTGTCAATATCTAAATAACTTTTGCGATACCATAAATGTGATGTCAGTACATGCACATGATATGTATTCAGTGGCGGATACAGAGACCTATCCGGGGGGGGGGG